AGCCTTGACGATGGGATAGGACGGCTGATCTTTGATGCCGCACTCGCCGTCTTTGGGCACCCCACGCTCAATGCGCACAAAGCCATCTTCACCCCACTGCGCTCCCCAGGAGTTCTTAACCTCAGCGATGACGACAAGCAAAAGAAGCAAAGCAAGCAAAGCGTGTCCTAGGCATGTTCATGCGAAACACCCGACGACCGGCCCCGTGCCTTCCAGTAGTCCACGCCATTCTCAGTGCCGTAGCCCACCACCAGCACACCATGGTCCAGCTTCTTGCCACACTCTTTCGTCAAGATTCCCCCGTCGTAAAGCTGGAAGGCCTCCTGGTCTGCTTCGATGGCGACAGACACTGGCTGCTCGGACACGGCTTCCAACAAGGCGTCCGTATCCTGGGGCGTGACATCTTTGAAACCAACAATGGAGCCCTTCGGCACCGCAACCGTGCAATTTGTCTCCATGCAGGTTCCCTGCTTGGCAGTGTACGGATAGCTGTCCTCCGTGCACACAGCGTACTTCTCCAAGTACTCAAAAGCTAGATCCATGGAGCCACCCGAACAGCCCATGTTGCCGTTCTTGGCACAGTCCACCAGCTGCTGTTCGCTCAAGGAGACGAGCTTGCCAGTAGCGAGCTGCCATGCACCTTCCAAAGCTCCAGTCGTGGAGAAGGACCAGCACGAGCCGCATTTTCCTTGATCCTTGGGGTCAGTCACAGCGCCCTTGCTCACCCAGTCCACTGCAGAGGGCAATTTGGCGCCGCTGTACCTCACTCTGACTCGCACACTCCACAGGCGCGCAAGATCACGCAAGGACACGCACAGAAAGACGCCTTTGCTGCTGAGGCGCGGGTCCCTGCCAAGGTAAGGCAACCCAGACCAAGCTCGGGTTCCTTCCTTCATGCCGAAGTGACTGCTAGCGAATTCCTCCGGCTCCATGTCGGCAAACTCGTTGATGCCCAACTTGAAGGACTTGCCCTGGGCGTTGTGTGCCTCAATGCGGGCGAAGTTCTTGGCAAACGTGGCGAAGCGAGCTGCCCGCTCGGAGGCCGTGGAGTAGGTCCTGGG